TTCAGCTAATGATGAATTTTGTCTGAATTATTTATGACAATGATGGCTGCTATATGGTACTATTCTGTCAATATTTCTACATTTGTGAGTTGGCATTCTATTGCAAAAAAGAAATTTCCCTTTCAATTTTATATCTTATCAGAATCAGTATAAACTCATGGATGTTTAAAAATTTTATTGTTGTAAATGTAGGGTTTAAAAACCCTCAATCCTCTTTTGTTACTTACTTACAACACTTCTAATGTGATATAAACTCCATCTTAGAGACTCATTACCTTTCTAGGTAGTCTGCAAAATTTAATTAAAAAAATATTTTTCCAGTAACGCTGTCCAAATTTAAATATGATTAGCCATTGGATCAAACACTGGTTTGGAATACCCAAAGCCTCCAACTATTGGGATGGATAATTGTGAGCATGGTTACTGAATGAAAGACTGTATTTAGTCAGAACCATCTAATGTAAGTTTGTGTAAAACGTTCTTAGTGTGTCTAAGTCTTAACCTTGGTTTTTAAAATATCACAGAATCCCAATTTGACTCCTAAGGCAAGTCAGATGGACCTGGTGTGCAGATGGAGGTCTCATAGGGCTGGGGCATCTTATTCCTTCTGATGATGTTATTTTTTTAGTTTTAAGTTCGAATATATATATATATTTCTCCCTGCTTTCAACACATTGTTGTTTTAGTTTTTGAAAAAAAAAATTCTTTGGAATATTAGGTTTAAAAAGCAAAATTTCAATTAATCCATATTCTTTCTATCTTTAAAGGAAAATGAACAGCTTATACATAAAATCTTGTGCATTAAAAAAAAAAAATCTGGAGGGTTTAAAGTGGCCTGTTGTGTTTCCAGAGACCTTCTTCAACATTAGGACCATGCTGCTGATTAAAGAGTAGAATCAGTATAAATATGTGCATAGTATTGTTTTTAGACTTGAAAAAAGAAAAACCCTCTAAACTTGAACAGTAATATAATTATTTCTAACTTTTAAATTGTTAAAAATATGTATAGTAGGGCCTTTTGAAAGCCTATATGTTCCTATTTTAAACATAAATATGATAGTAAAAATTAATAAAGAAGGTAGGGCTAGAGAGGGTACTACTGATTGACAGCTAATCACACATCAAGCATTGTTCAAAAGCAGTGTTTCTCACCTGTCTGGGGCCAAGAATCCATTTTATTTATTTTCAGCCCACTGCCATCTAATCACTGACCCACTGTGCACAGCTAGTGTGCAGCTCAGCCATGTGCCCCTCTCCCTGCAAGTGCAACACACACACTAGTCTCTGGGCTGTTCCGGATCCCACCCATCCTGAGTGTGTATGTCACAGCAATAGCTATGGCTCTGAGTTTCCAGCTTTCTTAAATTTCCTGTACTTCTTTAAGACCTAGTTGCAAAGAGTTCATGGACTGGCACTAGTGCACAGACCCCACTGTGAGCATCACTGTCATAGTTAATCTTTGCAACAGGGCTCTGAGAATTGCACTATCCCCACCACAACCTTCAGATAAAGACATTGAAGCACAGTGGACTTCCCAACCTTAAGAGCCCATGATTAGCAGGTAGCAGAATTTGTATCCAAACCCAGTCAGTGCCCAGAGGAGCCAGGATTTGTCTCTGACTCCAGAGCTTGTGCTCCTCTGTGTGTGCTTGTGTCATTTTAACTACATGTGGAGGAGGAAGTTTGGTTTAGGCCATCAGATGAGGACCTCCTCAGATACACCTTCTACAATCTACAAACCTCCTTCATCCATGCCCATCCTGCTCTCCTCTCCTGGTGATTAGGAATCACCAAAGTCAGTGATTCCACCCTGTGTCTTTGGATGCTCTTGGTCCATCCATCATCCCAACCAAAGCAACTGTTCAAGAGCAGGAATTAGATTCATTTCCCAGACAAGAAGCTGAGACTCCAAGGGTAAGACACTTACCCAAACATGTAACTATGGTTACTTGACTGTAGGGTGTGTCCAGAGCCCATTTTGTTAAGGATGGTGCCAGTTTATTCTCCTGGCACCTTGGCTGGTTATCACTTTCCCGTCACACTCAACTGTCCCCCTCTGGACAGTACATTCTTTGGGCATCCACACTGCTAGTGAGGAGTAGAGAAAGAACTGAGATGTAGATCAGTGTTACTGACTCCAAAACCAGGGCTTTCTGTTATCCTGCCTGGCCTACCTCTTATAATTTCAAAATTATAATTTTGAGAAGGAAAGTTTGTTGTCAGTCATCATTTATTCATTCAGCAAACATTTACTGAGCAACCCCTGTGTGACAGACACTGTGCTGGAAGATGTAATTAAAAAGTGACTAGGGCACAATTTCAAGTCTTTCTCTTACTTGGTTTAGTGAGAAAACAGACCACGTGTGAACACTCACAGTCAGGGCAGATTCCATGATTTAGATGACCGAGTCACAATGGAAAGAACAGGGCCCTTGTTTACAAATGAAGCATTTCAGGATGGTGACAATGGGACACAAACCAAGTATGGTTCAGTTTAACAAATGAGAGGTGCTGAGGGTATTATAGAAATATGAGTTACCTAGGATGATGACTGATCTTAAGGTGAAGAGGTGACAACTGGACTAACCCTTGAGAATGAGGATTTCTCTCCTACATGGACCTCTTCCCCTATTTTTTAGACCAAAAGATAGTGAGGAGAATCATTAAGTCATCATTTTGACTTACACATCAGTCAAGAGTTTCCCCCACCGTACACCCTCATTACCCACCTCTGGAGCTGTGATACATGCCATGGGAGGACATGGAAACGTGCTGTCCTGACCTCCCTTCAAGGACTTGTTGTCCAACTGCTGAAAGAGCTGCCAGTGGGCAAGTTTAAACCACCAGCCCCTCTGGGGGCAGCCTGTGTGCACTGACCCATCCAGGGAGGGGCATAAAGGCCTGGCCAGTGGACATGTCAGGACAACCCTGAAGGGCCATCATCACTCCAGACCCACACGGGGTTAGCTAAGGTTGTCTGGCCAGTGATCCAGCTTGATCTTTCCCTCTGCCTTACCCTGTTTCTTTCCTTCTGATTCCACAGTGTTGACCCCCAGGGCACCCCTGATACACATCCCAGTGTTAAACTCCATCTGAGTCTGCATCCCAGAGAACCAGCCTGCAACATGTATCAGAAAACATTCCAGTACTCAGGAGGATTTTTATTTGAAAATTACTGATTACACACACATTTATAACATTTTAAAACCCCAAAATAAAACACAAAATGGTAGAAATAAGGACTTTTTGTGTGAATGTGGTTTACTTTTTGGTTTAAAATTCACAATCTAACATTGTCTGACCAAAATGAATTTAAGTTATATAGTAATAAAAGAATATTATGTTGGAATATATGAAAGTGCCATTTTATAGCTTATAAAAAGACTGAATGTTAGCAGTTTGACATAATTCATTCTAATAGAAAAAATCCATTACCATTTGAAATTTAGAGAACATTATACTTCTGAATAACTCACAGGTAAAAGATATAGTTAATTAATTAAATTAGGAATTAGAAAATACATAATACTATGGCTAGTGATTAGTGGTAAGTATCAAAGCTTGCAGGTTGCAGCTAAAGTGGATCTCAGAAAAATATGTTGGCTTTATATACTTATATTAGAAAAATAATGATGTTATTAATCTGTTTCCAATTTAAGAATTTAGAGAAAAAAATTCTGAAAGTAAAGGAAATGTTGAAGGAAAGAACGACATGATGAGCTAGCGAAAGAAAAAAAAAAACAGAAAGCATCAATCAAGCAAAAAGTTGATTATTTGAAAATAGGAAAAAGTTATGCAAGATTATTAATAAAAAAGAGAAGGCTCAAAGAAAATTAAAAAGCCAAAAGAACACAGAGATGCTGCAGTTTAAATATATAAGGTATTGTGAATACATTTATGCCAATCAAGTTCAAAACTCACAGGAAACAGATCCACTCCTACAAAAATGAAACTTACCAAAATGACTCTGCAGAAATAACACACTGAATAGGAAGCACATAATTACCAAAAGTTACCCAGACAATGATGGCTGCACAACACTGTGAATGTGATTAACGCCACTGAACTGTATGATCAAAAATGGCTATATGGCAAATTTTATGCTATACATACTTTACCACAATTTTTTTTAAATGTAAAAAAATAAAATCCTCTATCTAGAAGACAGTCTAGAACATGGCTGTCCTTCATTAGCAAACACCCTGGAAGAGTTCCTACTTTGATAAAGCATATTTTCTCTTCCTTCTCTTTCACAGGACCTCCCCAATGGCTCAGAGGTAAAGAATCTGCCTGCAATGCAGGAGACACAGGAGAAGAACACATAATATTGACCCTCTGTACTTTAAACATATTTCTTTCTGGAGGGTAATACCTCTCTCTTCTGTAATGTCTTTTAAACTACATGTATGTTTTTCCTATTAGTTTTTTCTGTAGTGTTTTAACCAGAGGTCTTTGAGTGGAAAAATGGACAATAGGTCTGTTAAAGGAGTGGTTATATAAAACGGCAACTTTACACTGTCTTCAAGTAAACAGAATCCCTGATGGAAAGTAATATGTAATTCTGGGAACAGTAAAAAAAATCATCTGTGACAACTTTGTCTAAAATCTTAGAAAATCAGTTTTGCTCTAGAGTCTCTCAAGACACAAAACCTGGGAGACAGCTTTTATTGATGACCTGCACCTCTGATTTGGATAAGAAAGAAAATAGTGTAACATATAAATAAACATAATAAATCACTTTGCAAGAGCTTGAAATCACTGAGTGAAGTTGGAGGAAAAAATTATAGATTAACATCTTGGAATATGTAAATATTTGTTGCTGGTGTAAAAAATATATAATATAATTTATGCAGTGCAAAAACCTATTGGAAAAATGCCTTTGGAATAGACACGAACTCATGGTAGAAACAGAACATTGACTCAAAAATTGTTGAGGATGAGGGCTGTCCACTGGAAATATTCAGAATCACATGGTCACTGTAATATCTGGCTATTTCCTTTCAGAGTGCACCTAAGGGGTGAAAAAGACAAAAACAACATGGTTAAGAATTTTAACTCCTTCTAAGGCAACACATTTCTAGGTTAACTTCTTCATGTGAAGCAAATCATATTGAAGGAGAAAACAGAACAGGCTCTATCTTGAAAGCAGGACTCCATCTTGGGCCTGACTATGGACTTTGAGCTATATGCCCAGTATCTAAGGAAACGACATACCAACTGGAAAACCAGGCCCAGGAAGGAAGAGCCCCAGGGCTCTCCATTGCCTAAAAGAATACCCTAATTATCTGTGTGACTGAATAGAATCATACATTCTATTATGCTTATTGGGGTATGACCACAATTGATAATTGTCCACTGTTAACTACCGAGGCTTAAGGCTTATGAATCATGATGTATCTTTCTTTTTCCTTTGTTCAGACTAGTTTCAGGAAATTTTGGGGAGGTGGGTTTGGACGCTAATGCTTAGGGTATATAAGGTTTTCACAAAAAATGGTCAGGGTCCTTGGCTAAGAGAAGTCTCTGCCTTGGGCCGCCAAGTGTAATAAACTGCACTCCACTATCTGCATTGTCCTTCTGAGTGAGTTTGTTTCCTGGAACGCATGGCTACAACAATATCACTAGTGGAGGCACAATTTAAAAAACCAGGGGTATATTTATTCTATGGAGAAAGTAGCCTCACTAAAATATAATCCCTCAGTGGGACTAGACGTAATGCCAAACAACCTGTAGATACACTTGCATTCTGATCATTCCGATTCACAAATATGTTTTGTCACTACGGTAAACTGATAAGTAAAATCATTTTACTGACTCAAAGCCTGGAGATAAATTAAAAACAAGGTGACAAAAAGGCTGGGAAAACTATTAATACTGTCTGCCCAATGGTTACTCATTTTCACACATAAAATGAGCACAACAAATTTGGATGTTAATATCAGGTTGTAATCTCTACATTTTATAAACTCTGATTGACAAACACTGAAAACAAAGAGTAGGAAATGAAAAAAGCATAACACTTTTTCATGTAGCCATGAAAAAGAATGAGGCAACTGTATGCATTAATATGCTGAGATACAATATTAAATGAAAAAAGGAAAGAACAACTATCATTTGTGCTTAAAAACCGAAAGACCACATATTCACAAGTTCTTCCTGATACACAAGACAGTCAGCAGTGGCGCTGGGGCTCCACCTGGAGGAGGAACTTGTGATGACAGGAATGGAAAGTGATTTACTTTTTGCTCATAATTTTTAAAAAAGTATTTTTAAAAAGTGTTTAAATTGTCTAGCAGTAGATGTATCATTTGTTTTAAAACTTATTATTAAAAATACATTTTAATTATTTAGAGCAGTGGCCCCCCAACCTTTTTGGCACCAGGGACCCAGTTTCATGGAAGACAAGTTGTCCACAGACAGGACAGGGGTGGGAGGGGAGTGGAGGAAGGTTCAGGTGTAATGTGAGTGATGGAGAGCAGCAGATGAAGCTTTGCTCCTTTGCTCACCACTCACCTGCTGCTGTGTGCCCATGGACCACTACCAGACTGCAATCCAGAGGTTGGGGACCCCTGATTTAGAGTCTCTAAAGTTACTTAGAAGAACTATGGGTATATTTTTTATTATTGAGATGCAAGGCTTCTGTCTATGGCCTTTTAAAAACTGACCACACTTTTACACTGTAAAATGCCCTTCAATCTAAAAGTACGTAAGCATGTGCTCTCTTATCTGATCTCCATAATAAATTGAAGGAGCCAACGGGACTGTAATCCCTGCTCTACACACAGGTGAGGACCTGAGGCTCAGACACCTGGGGGACACAAGGCCACGTGGAGGCTAAGCACCTCCTCCATCTATTCAAACTGGTCCAGGCTCCTCGAGCTAGGATATGAGGATTTTATAACTTCTGGGCTCTATTACGTGATTTCATGAATAGACAAATATGACAGCTCTGTTACACACTGGGAACAAAGAAACTTCAGAAAACCTCAACCAGATTTGCTTCATCACAGAACAAAATGGATGACAGGCATTCAACCTTTGAGGTGAACTGTGTCCCCTCCAATTTTACATGTTGAAGTCCTAAACCCTCAGTATCTCAGAATGTGACTGTTTGGAGACAGTGTCTTTAGAGAGACAATAAAGTTAAAATGAAGTCATACAGGTGGGTCCTAATCTAACAGACTGGAGTTCTTATAAGAAGAGATCAGGATACAGGCTCACATAGAGGGAAGACCATGTGAGGACACAGAGAGAACATGGCATCTTCAAGCCAAGGAGACAGACCTCAGAGGAAACCAACCCTACTGACACCTTGACCTCAGATTTCCAGCCCCTAGAGCTGTGAGGAAAAACATTTCTGTTGTTTAAGTCACCTACTCTGTGGTCTTTGTATGGCAGCCCTAGCAAACTAATGCCCCCCTTCAACTTTATGTATCTAAAAGGTACTTTCTCTACTATTGCATAGACCATCAGATCTCTGAAAGGGTCAATTAAACAGTGATCAGCTCACCCAAACTATACATTTAAAAAAATGTGACTTGGAAGCACCTTTTCCCAGATGTTGAGTTTTCTTTTCAAATGAATTCTGTTCTATTATAGTGAAAAGCTTGCTGATTTAGGCTAATGCTTCCAGTGTTATAACTCTGAATGCATTGGTATCTGATGCTTCCACATTAAAAAAATCGGCAATCTGACAGCTTACCTAAGAGGATGCAGAGTATGCAGAAATAATGCCAAGAAGATATTCAACTGGAATGGGAATCAAGAAATACATTTCTGTAGAGGTGACCTGACCCAGGGGTAGGGCGGAAATCCAAGAGTGAGGTTCTGCCACTCTGAATTTGGGTGATGGCCCCACCTTGGCTACTATGTGAAAGAAGCAGTGTTCTCAGACTCAACACAGAACACAGTACCTAAGGCGACACTCAGCCTCCCCCAGCAATTCCCGCTCTGTGCTCCCTTGGATCAGCTCTGTGACCTTAGCTGAGCCCTGGACCCAATCTCCTCACTCATGACATGAATAAAAATGGACCATCATGAGATTAAGTGAAGTCGTACATGTGAGAACAATGTAAAAATAATGATAAGTAACTATACAAATGTAATTTACCATTAATATTGTTAGAGTAGGTACAGGATTACTAGACTAGGAATCACAAGATTTCTAATTCTGCGACCTATGTTTGCTTCCATATGTATGTTACACTTGATTTAAAACATTCACTGAAAGAACAGATTTCGAATTCTGTATCTGCTGCAAACCAGCTTAACACTAGTTACATACATATAGTTATATACATATATATATATAGGGCCAGCTTCCTTCTAAGAGGCCTTAGTTTCCTTACCTTTAAAATGAGGGTGTTGAATCCTATCATCTTATGATATCTGGGCCTATCTAAAGTTCTGTGATCTATTTCTCACCACTCAATGTCTTGGTAATATATAATGATAACATAGTTTTTAAATGAAGACTTTGACACATAGGTGGGTACATCTCTTTTTGATGTGAAATGCATAAGTTCAAAAGAGCAAAAGGGTTTGGGAAATTCCTGGGTCTGTTGGTCTCAGGAAGGAAGCTCTGACTGGGAGATACTCTAGTAGATGAAAGCACTTTGTGAATTTCAGGCATAAAAATAGAGAGTTCTTTGGTTAGCTTCTCAACATTTGCACACAATATAAGTACTTATGCAAAGTTCAGAACACAAACTTCCTTGTCCCTAAACCTAAGTATGAACTCCAACTCTGCCACCTCTTCAGCCAGCTATGCAACCCAGGCAATTTCCTACCTGTGAACAGTGGAAGGCCCTGCTTGGCATTTCCTCATTTCTAAGGAGGACTGAGATGAGACAGTGATAGAGGAAACTTAGAAAACATTTCAGATAAAGCTTTTATATAGAAGTCCTTAAGATACTGGGACATGTTTTCTTTAAGAAATATTTTAAATATTTCACACAAGTAAATATCTGCTACTTACAAATGAAAATCTAGGAAATGCAGAAAAGTATGAAGAAGGGAAAATACATCCATAATTTAACAGAGATAAATTTTCAATGGGAAACCTCACCACAGGCAGCTGGAAGCCTCATCCCATCCCAAGCCATGCATGATAAGGGGCAAGAACACCAGACCTTCCTTCTCTCCCTCCATCTTCCCATCAACCCTGTTCACACTCCCACCTTGTTCCAAATTACAGATTGCTGTATGACAATGGCTAAGTCTCCTAAACCAGACTCACCATCTCACCATTGTTAGGAAGATGTCATGTGACCTAAATGTTACCCATCGAGCACCTTCCTCACACCATGCACAGAGCTTAGTGCTTCACACACCTCAACTCTGTGAAAGTGCTTTGCAAACCTTCAAGCACCATTCAGACTACAGTGTGGAGCTATTGTGAGTTCTTGATTTGTCCTGATGACAATCTCATCTTCTAGAAGGTAGAGGAAGCATGGGAGGCAACTGGACCTAATTCTAAACAACAAAGAATTAGGGATAAAGTGACAGTATCAGGTTGGCATTTTCTTCACAGATTAGAGAACAGAACAGGCCTACACCTTTCCCTGCAAAGATCTTCCTAGAACCAAAATATTCCAAAATTTTCCTTAAACTCTCAAATTTCCTGGATATTCTTTGACATCAATCAGAATGAACATAAAGGGTCTGCAAAATGAGTGCTCTGTGCTGTATGAGAATCTGAACCCAGAGTCCAAAATGTGGAAAGTCCAATTTGACATCTCTCTCAGGCACAGGTGTGGTCACACAGAAGAGCACACATTCTGACCCCACTCCGAGCACTTGCTGCAGATTTTCAGCAGACCTGCCTTCTATCTGCCATGTGTTGTTAAGACCCAGTCATGAAGCTTCCTCTCTGGAGGCTTATAAGGGCACAGAGTGCTTATTATCAGACCCCTGGTGGAACTCATGTGAAGGGTGAACCCTGGAGATGAACTTTAATTACAACTCCCCACAGCAGGCTCACCTGTTTTGCCCTTTGTGAGGGCAGCAGCCTCGGTCTCACCCAGTTGTTGTACCATCTTATAAAATAGTTTGTCTCTATTTTGCAGCAAACCATATGGGTTACCATATTCTTTCAGTCTCCCTGAATCCAAAACCTGTTGATCAACAGAAAGAAAGCCATTAGCACACAATGTCTCCCAGGACAATATTATAACTCAGATAGTATTTCAAAAAGAGGCAGCACAGGGAGAATAGAGAGAATCTGTTTAGGTGGTAGGACTGGCTGGTGTTTAAATGGCTTGATTACCATGTTTTACTAGGCAAAGGCCTAACCTGACCTTTTAATATTACAATGTTATAGGAAAGGAAGAAAGCAAAAGTTTTAGACGAGGCTTACTGGCACTCTGTAGCATCTTATACTCTGCCCAGGGCATTTGGTATTGTTATCTTTACTTAGTGCTTTTAGCTCTCAGGCTCTGAATTTTCAAGCAATTTATACAGATACACAGAGTTGTAAAATAACTTGATTCAAGAAAATCAAAGTCCATTTATCTAAAAAGTAGGTTGATGTCATACAAATGAAAGAGCAGTGCCCTGACAACAAATTAATGGTCAAGTTGATTTAAAAATTCAAGCAATATTTGAGGAAAAGAGTAAGTGCTTCTGGGATTTCTTTAGGGTCCTGGATTATGTCAGCTGCTAAGAGGAGCAGAATCCCTTGTCTGAGAGGTTGAGATGCTTCTTGAAGCTGGATGTGGTTGTAGTTTATCCTTCCAAGTGAAAGCCTGGCAAAAAAGATCTGGTACATAAGCAGCTTTTGCAGGATTGCTCTGCACAGAAGAAATTTCTAAAAACCAGTTTTCTCTGTGGATAAGACTAAAGAAGCAAGAAACTGAGCTTCAAACTCCTGTGATTATAGCCCATACAGCACACAGGGCCAGCCCAACCTGAACTGCCTAGGATCTGAATCTGTTTTCACAAACTATCTTTCTTCCCATTTCTTTCCTCAGCTGTTTGCCCTTTACCCTTTACTGCTCATTAATAAGTCTGCTAAATTGAAACTGAAAGGGAGAGGAAGGGGCTCTCAACTCTTTCTGCTTACTAGTGACTTTGGTTAATGGTTCTGAAGGGGAAAAAAGTGTCTGAAACAACCGGCCCAAATACAACTTTAAAAATAGTTCTGCTGTTCAGTGGTATTTAATTCTTCATTTAGGTTAAATTTAGAGTAAATGTATCTTAATAGAATATGCTGAATGGACTTCCCTGGTGGCTCAGTGGTAAAAGAATCTGCCTGCCATTGCAGGAATCATGAGTTCGATCCCTGGTCCAGGAAGATCCCACATGTTACAAAGCAACTAAGACCATGTCCCGTAACTATAGAGCCTATGCTCTAGAGCCTGGGAGCCACAACTTCTGAGCCCACATGCATAAAGCCTGTGTTCTGCAGAAAGAGAAGCCATGCAATGAGAAGTCTGCACACTGCAATGAAGAGTAGCTCCCACTCACTGCAACTAGAGAAAAGACCACACAGCAAGGAAGATCCAGCATAGTCAAAAATAAACAAATAAATAAATAAGATTAAGTTTTTTTAAAGAAGAAGAGAATATGCTGGAACTCTAAACAAGACACAGGTTGTTTTTCCATATCTAGATACTGCAGCTAATTTCATCCTTTGGATTTAATTGGAAACATTTATTAAGTGGCATAAAGGTGATTTTCCTGTTAATCTTTTACTACTGTGAATCATTGCTAAGGGCAGCTTTCTCAAAAGAGTCCAAAAATACCTGAATCTGTCTCAGTTTAGTTGCTTAGTCATGTCCAACTCTTTGCAACCCAATGTATGGACTGCAGCACGCCAGCCCTCCCTGACCATCGCCAACTCCCATGAGTCAGTGGTGCCATCCAACAATCTCATCCTCTGCTGTTCCCTTCTCCTCCTGCCTTCAATCTTTCCCAGCAACAGGGTCTTTTCAAATGAGTCAGTTCTTCACATCAGGTGGTCAAAGTATTGGATTTTCAGCTTCAGCATCAGTCCTTCCAATGAATATTCAGGACTGATATCCCTTCGGATGGATTGGTTGGATCTCCTTGCAGTCCTGGGGACTCTCAAGAGTCTTCTCCAGCACCATAGTTCAAAAGCATCAATTCTTCAGCACTCAGCTTTCTTTATAGTCCAACTTTCACATCCATACATGATTACTGGAAAAACCATAGCTTTGATTAGATGGACATTTGTTGGTAATGTTTCTGCTTTTTAATATGCTGTCTAGGTTGGTCATAACTTTTCTTCCAAGGAGCAAGTGTCTTTTAATTTCATAGCTGCAGTCACCAACTGCAGTGATTTTGGAGCCCAAAAAATCTGTTACTGTTTCCCTTGTTTCCCCATCTATTTGCCATGAAGTGATGGGACCAGATGCCATGATCTTAATTTTCTGAATGTTGAGTTTTAAGCCAGCTTTTTCACTCTCCTCTTTGACTTTCATTAAGAGGCTCTTTAGTTCTTCTTCACATTCTGCCATAAGGGTGGTGTCATCTGCATATATGAGGTTATCAATATTTCTCCCAGCAATTTTGATTCCAGCTTGTGATTCATCCAGCCTGGCATTTCTCATGATATACTCCGCATATAAGTTAAATAAGCAGGGTGACAATATACAGCCTTGACATACTCCTTTCCCGATTTGGAAACAGTCTGTTGTTCCAGTTCCAGTTCTAACTGTTGCTTATTGACCTGCATACAGATTTCTCAAGAGGCAGGTAAGGTGGTCTGGTATTCCTATATCTTAAAGAATTTTCCATAGTTCAATGAAATTATAGAGTAACTAAAATTATAGAGCAGCTATAATGATTGTGGAAAAGTTTGACAAATAGTGAGAATTACCCAAAGGTGAGACAGAGACATGGAATGAGCAAATACTCTTGGGAAAATTATGCCTATAGACTTCTATGCAGGGCCATGATAAGCTCTCAAGTTGTAAAAAATGCAGTATCTGGGAAGTGCAATAAAACAAAGTAGGTCTGTTATTTCTAAAGCAAACAATACTAATAAGGTTCAAAATTGGGAAAGGAGCATGTCAAGACTGTATATTGTCACCCTACTTATTTAACTTATGTGCAGAGTACATCATGCAAAATGCTGGGCTGCATGAAGTACAAGCTGGAATCAATATTGCTGGGAGAAATATCAATAACCACAGATATGACACAGATGACACCACCCTTATGGCAGAAAGCAAAGAGGAACTAAAGAGCCTCTTGATGAAGGTGAAAGAGAAGAGTGAAAAAGCTGGCTCAAAACTCAACATTCAAAAGACTAAGATCATGGCGTCCAGTCCTACACTTCATAGTAAATAGATGGAGAAACAATGGACAAAGTGACAGCCTTTATTTTCTTGGGCTCCAAAATCACTTCAGGCCATGACTGCAGTCATGAAATTAAAAGACACTTGCTCCTTGGAAGAAAAGCTATGACCAACCTAGACAGCATATTAAAAAGCAGAGACATTACTTTACTGACAAAGGTCCATATAGTCAAATATATGGTTTTACCAGTAGTCAAATACATATGTAAGAATTGACCCATAAATAAAGCAGAGTGCTGAAGAATTGATGCTTTTGAACTGTGGTGTTGGACTCCAAGAAGATAAAACCAGTCAATCCTAAAGGAAATTAACCCTGAATATTCATTGGAATGACTGCTGCTAAAGTTTAAGCTCCAATAGATTGACCACCTGATCAATGTAGTGAGGAGCCTACTCATTGGAAAAGACACTGATGCTGGGAAAGTTTGAAGGCGGGAGGAGGAGGGGATGACAGAGGATGAGATGTTTGGATGGAATTACTGACTCAGTGGGCATGAATTTGAACAAACTATGGGACATAGTGAAGGAAAGAAAGGCCTGGCATGCCAAAGTCCAGGGGGTCACAAAGAGTCGGACACAACTGAGCAGCTGAACAACAACAATTTTCAAGAATGAGAGGAGCAATTAAGAGAAAATTAAATTACTGGAGGTTCCTATCAAGTTTTACAAGGATGGATATGCTGAAAAACTTAACATAAATGAAAAAATCTAAAATGGTGAGGTTCTTACCATTATCTGTGTGCAGTCAATGACATTGTTCAACCTGTGTGCGATGGTTAGCACAGTGCACTGGGCAAATTTCTCACGAATTTTTTTTTTTATTAACTCATCAGTTCTATATTAAAAAAAAGTTTATTTAGTTCAGTAAAGACATGACAAGCAGACTTAAGACTTAAAAATATATGATATTTTTATAATGTTTCTAAAAATCAATATGTTAACATATAATCTTGTTCCTAAAAAACTAAGTACAAAATGTCTATTTAGAAATTTACCCTTTTTCATAAAATGATGGAAAATATTCTTCTCTCAAAATTGTTTGTAACTATAAGGAGCTGGATTTAAGAATCTAGCTCTCTCAGGATGCCTAATAACAACATTAATGCCATACAATATGTCTTGGTTTTTCCTTTGTTTTCTGGAATTGATATTATCAAAAGATATCCATTGGACTAACAGAGCACTTAGAAATATTTCTAAGCATCACTAAATGTTTTCCGTATACCACACTGACAAGTCAGACTCAAGGTTTCCTGGTCTCAGCTCCATTACCTTGGATCCACATTCGATGTGGCTTTGTCAATAATCAATATCCGATTTTCCCTGAGGATAGCCCTGGCAAGACACACCAATTGTCTCTGTCCAGAACTCAAGTTCAATCCAGATTCTGCTAATTCAGTATTCATTTTACCAGGGAGACCTTCAATGGCTTCTCTAAGTTGCACCTGTGGGTACAGAAAGAATGACTTTTTCCTAAGCAAACTGTTACTAAAGTAGAAAAATGTCTTAGATGTTAGAGCTTTGATGTCCTCAGGATTTCTTTCATATATTGCATGTACAGCCAGGGTGATGGGAAGAGCTCTTTCTAATGAGCATTCACTGTGAAAGATGGTGGAGTCAACTCAGGACAGAAAGATCTCAGTGTCCCCATCCCTGCTACAGGATATCCACCAGAAACCCTGCCTAGGGATTAGTTAAGGAGGTCTCTCAAAAAACGAAGCCTTTTCTCCCAGTGTGGTTTCAACAGACAAGTTAAAATGATCTTTATGGTTGAGTCAAGTTTCCCAAAGTACATTTTCCATAGGAGTTGGTACACTAAAGAAAAACTTAAAAAATATTTATAGTAAGTCTTTTTCTCTGAAGATATAATCTTACCAACACTTTACCATTTGGTGAAGTTTACAATATGCAAATTCAAACAATGGCAACTGGAGCCTATTTTGATGATAACTCTTTCCCAAGTTTATAAATATAAATATAAATATAAATATAGTGGACCAATCGAGTGCATTTTCCTCGGTATCATAAATGTCTTGCAATGAATGAAAACTCATTCATTGAGTTTCATATAATGAAAACTCATTATATGAAAATAAGACACAACATCTTATTTCCCCCAGAATATGGATATAGGTGATGTTTATATTACTCTATCTTCATAAAATTGTACTTATAAGATTAGAGATAAAACAGACTTTTAACTGCCATAGATAATTGAAAAGTACATTTGGTGGTAGGGGTCAGTTCAATAAATATTTATTTTGGAAAAATATTATAGAGCATGAACCAAACTCAAGCTATACTTGAAGCTGAAGATCAAAGACAAAATACACTTCAAATTAAGAGACCAACAGATTGATGAGTGATGGCCAATAAGTTATCTGACACATTATAATGTCAGATAACAACACACCAAGGGTCAGTAAGGAGAGTTTTCATTTTTCAGGTATCCTAAATGCTGGAACACATCTATGAATGTGAACCTGAATTGTGCTATTGATGGAGTCCAATCCCAAGAAAGCGGAATTCTGAGTTAAAATTAAATATGGTATTGTTATGCAGCATTATCCTGAGAAGTACACAAAATCTAAAGGGTAAGACTTGGATTATGGTACAAGTGGTTGGACTTTCTTAAGACTGACATCCTGACTCACACTTGCCCCTGACTTGGATGACATCTCATCACTAATTTGGTTTTCTACTTTCCTTCGAGTTTGTCCATATCCACTTCATGAGGAAAAAGGGTTGTGAGAGGAAATGTTTTTCAGAAAATGATCTTTTCTGAGACTCTGTTTTCATTTATAAATCAGGGATTGTTATGAGAATATATGAATATAAAGGTCTTCTGTAGTGTAATCATAAAATTAAGTTATAATTAAGTATTAAAATGGGAAAAAAGTAGAAGCAGTAAACAAAAATAACTAGGAATTATAACTAGTGAATCTGAAAACATCCTAGATAAGAGTGTAATATTCTCTCAGATCATCCCACCCTCGCCTTATCAAGTGTGAAACAGATTGCCAGTCCAGGTTGGATGCATGAGACAAGTGCTCAGGGCTGGTGCACTGGGATGACCCAGAGGGATGGGATGGGGAGGGAGGTGGGAGGGGTGTTCAGGATGGGGAACACATGTAAATCCATGGCTGATTCATGTCAATGTATGGCAAAAACCACTACAATACTGTAAAGTAATTAGCCTCCAACTAATAAAAATAAATGAAAAAAAAAGTGCAGTATTACTATTAAATTTATTCATTGAGATAACTGTATTAGGACATATAAGAGAATGTCCTTGTTCTCACAAGGTATATATTTATATGTTTAAAGGTGATTCTAACTTTTAAATAAACATGTCTTCAACTTATAATAATTCATCAAATATAGATTTTTAAGAGAGGGAGAAAATAAAGGAAGACATAATAGCTGATGAATCTAGGTGAAGGTGTATATGTGTTCATCATACTATTCCTTTCATGTTCCTGTAATTTGAAATTTTTAAAACAAAAAATTGGAGGCTTGGGACTTCCCTGGTGGTCCAGTGGTTAAGAATCCACCTGCCAATGCAGGGAACATGGGTTCGATCCCTGGTTCAGGAAGATTCCATATGGAATGTAAGTAAGTAAACCCATGTGCCACAACTACTGAGGCCACACTCTAAAGCCCACAAGCCTCAAGTACAGAGCCTGCATGCCACAACTACTGAAGCCTGGGCCTCTAGAGCTTAAGAGCCGCAACAAGAGAAAGCCATGGCAATGAGAAGCCTGTGCACTGCAATAAAGAGATAGTCCGTTTGCTGTAACTAGAGAAAGTCTGCAAGCAGCAATGAAGAACTAGCACAACAAAAAAAAAAAAGAAAGAAAAAAAATTGGAGGATTCAAGCCAGGCAGCCTGGGCATAAGTCCTACCTAGCTCTGCCAACTGGGAAAGTTACTAAACTTACTCTGCCTTAGCTTCCTAAACTCTCACACTATAATATCATAATTATAAAGGTGGGTACCTCATAACATTGATAGAGTACAAAATAAATCAGTACATGTAGAATTTACAGCAGCTCAATAGATATTGCCCATTATTACTAATGCTTCCAATATGCTACTGGGGAAGAGTGGAGAAGAATTACCAATAGCCCCAGAATGAATGAAGCCACTTGGCCAAAGCAGATATGATGCTCAGTTGTTGATGTGCCTGTTGATGAAAGTAAAATAAAATGGTGCAAAGAACATTATTGTATAGGAACCTGAAATGTTAGGTCCATGAATCAAGGAAAATCAGACATGGTCAAGCAGGAGATGGTAAGAATAAACATTGACATCCTAGGAATCAGTGAACCAAAATGGATGGGAATGGGCAAGTTGAATTCAAATAGCCATTATAACAAAGTAACCCTCATAATCATCAAAAGTCTGAAACACAGTATTTGGGTGCAACCTCAAAAATGACAGAATGATCTCAGTTTGTTTTCAAGGCAAGCCATTTAAGATCACAGTAATCAAAGTCTATGTCCCCACCACCGAATTTGAAAAAGCTGAAAATTGATCAGTTCTGCAAAGACCTAGAAGACCTCCTAGAACTAACACCTAAAAAAGATGTTCTATTCATCATCAGAGATTGGAACGAAAAGTAGGAAGTTAAGATATACCTTGAGTAACAGGCAAGTTTGGCCTAGGATAACAAAATGAAGCAGGGCAAAGGTTAACTGAATTCTGCCAAGAGAATGCACTAGTCATAAAAAATACTCTTTTTCAACAACACAAGAGACAACTTTACACATGGGCATCACCAAATCATCAATACTGAATCAAAGTGATTACATTCTTTGTAGTGGAAGATGGAGAAGCTGTATACAGTCAGCAAAAACAAGACTGGCAGCTGACTGTGGCTCAGATCACCAGCCTCCCATAGCAAAATTCAGACTTAAACTAAAGAAAACTGTGAAAAACACTAGCCAGCCAGTTATGACTTAAATCAAATCCTGTATGAATTTGCAATAGAGATAACAAATAGATTCAAGGGACTAGATCTAGATAACAGTGTGCCTGAAGAACTATGGACAGAAGTCCATAATATTGTGCAGGAGGTGGCAAACAAACCATCCCAAAGAAAAAGAAAAGCAAGAAGGCAAAGTGGTTATCTGAGGAGGCTTTCTGAATAGCATAAAAATGAAGAGAAGTGAAAAAAAAGGGAGAGAGGGAAAGGTACATAAAATTAAACACAGTTTCAAAGAAAATCTAGGAGAGATAAGAAGGACTTCTCCAATGAACAAAGCTTAATAACCCAAGAAAACAACAAAAGGGGGAAGACTTAGAGATCTCTTCAGGAAAACTGGAAACATCAAGGGAGCATTCTGCCCACAGTTGGGCACAGTAAAGGATAAAAATGGCAGAGACCTAGTAAATGCTGAAGAGATCAAGAAGAGGTGGAAAGAATACACAAAAGAACTATATATATATATATATATACACACACACACACACACACCTTAGTGAACTGGATTACTATGATGGTGTGGTTAGTCACCCAGATCCAGACATTCTGGAGTGAGAAATCAAGTGGGCCTTAAGAAGCACTGCTGTTAATAAAGCTAATGGATGCAATGAAATTCCAGAAGAACTATTCAAATCCCTAAAGGGGGATGCCATCAAGGTTTTGCATTCATTATGTTGGCAAATCTGTAAGACTCAGCAGTGGCCACAGGACTAGAAAAAGTCAATCTTCATCTTAATTCCCAAGAAGGGTAGTACCAAGAATGTGCCAACCATCAGACAATTGTACATCTCCCAAGCTAGTAAGGTCATGCTTAAAATTGTCCATGCTAGGCTTCAGCATTATGTGAATCAAGAACTTCCAGATATCTAAGATGGGTTTGGAAAAGGAAGAGGAACTAGAGATCAAATTGCCAACATCCACTGGATTATAGAGGAAGCAAGGGAATTTCACAAAAACATTTATCTTTAGTTCATCAACTACGCTAAACCCTTTGACTGTGTAGATCATGACAAACTGTGGAAAGCTCTTAGAGGGATGGGAATACCAAACCATCTTACCTGTCTCCCGAGAAACCTGTATGTGGGTCAAGAAGCAACAGTTAGAACCCTGTATGGAACAACTGATTGTTTCAAGATCAAGAAAGGAATAGGGCAGGGTGATCTGTTGTTACCCTGTTTGCTTAACCTATATGCTGAGCAAATCATGAGAAATGCCAGGCTGGATAAGTTACAAGCCTGAATCAAGACAGACTAGAGAAGCATCAATGACCTCAGATATGCAGATGATACCACTCTAATGGCAGGAAATGAAGAAGAACTAAAGTGCCTCTTGATGAGGGTGAAGGAGGAGAGTGAAAGAGCAGGCTTAAGACTAAATGTTAAAAAAAAATAATCTAAGATCATGGCATCGTGCCCCATTGCTGCTGCTGCTGCTAAGTCACATCAGTCATGTCCGACTC